ACACACACACACACACACACACACACACACACACACACACACTGTCCTCAAGGCTTCATTCATGACATTAGTTTGATTGAGTATGTGCTACTTCTTACTGCCACATTTTCAGGTGGTCTCTATGGCATCTATATTGCTGGGTTTAGGTAACTGTCATCACTTATCTGGGAGTAAAGGGAAAGATGGGAAAGAAGGACAATTCTCAAAGTCCTACTAAGTGCCATATACTCTGTATAGGAAATCTCATTACCCTTTGCTACAGTCTGTACGGAAGGCATCATGAGACTTTTTAGAGCTGAACAGTTGAACTAATACAACCTGAAATTTCACTAAAGATTTTCCTTTTGTGTCCTGAAGGCACCTGGCATCTGAGTATTCAAATCTCCCTAAGTGTTCATATTCAATGTTGTCCATGGTATTGCTTAATTTATGTATACAATGAGATTATTACTTTTAAATTATAATACTGGAATTTAAAAACACTCTATGGCCAAGTAAATCATGAAATCATACCATGAGAGACTAAATTCTTGCAGATTATCAGGGATTAATTCACATGATACGTGAAGAATTCTCAGTAACCAATACAAGACAGTCTTGAATGACGTTGGCAGCCTCTAAGATAATCTCCAATAATCTTTGCCTTTCTTGAGCCCCTTTTTGTGGGCTGGAGTTAGTGACTTGCCACTAACAAAATGTGTAGGAAGAGAGGGGATATCAATTTTTGAGGGGAGGTACCGGGGATTGAACTCACAGGCACTTGACCACTGAGCCACATCCCAAGCACTTTTTTTGTATTTTATTTAGAAACAGGGTCTCACTGAGTTGCTTAGTGTCTTATTAAATTGCTGAGGCTGGCTTTGAACTCGTGATCCTCTTGCCTCAGCCTCCTGAGCCACTGGAATTACAGGCATGTGACACCAGTGACACCACCCTAGCAGGACATCACTTTTGAATTCAGATGACAAAGGGGCTGTGGGTTCCTTATTGATCACATACTCATGCTTGCTTTAAAAAGATAACTGCCATGTTTCAAAATATCCATGTGACAAGTAATCAATATGTCTGGCTAAGGACCAGTGAGGCCCTGAGTCCCTCCCAGAGACATATGGAATTGGATCCTCTACAATTGAGATTTCAGACACCTATAGCACTTACCTAGACCTTGAGCACACCCTTCAGAGAGACTCCCAGCCAGAACCTAAGCCATGCTGTGATTTCCCCTTCCCTCTCCTCTTTTTATGTTTTTGGTTTTTTTAAACACTGAGGATTGAACCCAGAGGCACTTTAACACTGAGTACCATCCCTGACCTGTAAATTTAATTTAATTTTTAAATTTTGAGACAGGGGCTAACTATGGTGCTACAGATCTCACTAAATTTGCTGAGGATGGCCTAGAACTTGTGAGCCTCCTGTCTCTACCTTCTGGGATTACAGATGTGTGCAGTGCCCGACATCCATGCTGTGATTTGAGACCCAAAGAACTAGTGTGTACTAATATGCTTGTTGATTCAAATGGTGAAATTTTGGTGTCAATTTGTTATTTAACAATAAATAATACATACACAAATAATATATAAATAATATATACGCAAAGAATTGAAGAGCAATCAACGTACATGCCTAAGAAACATTTGAAAACATATTCACTGATGAAATGTCATGAAAACATGGATATATGGTAATTTTAATGAGAAGGGAAGATTGCAGAACCATACAGTTGGTTGAAACTTAAAAGTCTCATAGGAGTGCAAGACACTCAACCTTGGGGAGCTATGGGGATTCACCTTTCCTGAGTACTGGTACTTTTGTATTACATGTATTTCCTACAATATTGCTGTGAGTTAGAGGATTTGATCGCTATACTGTTTTGTAGCAGGAGCAGCAATGAAGCATGGAGGTTAAGTAACCTGGCTGGAGTCATCCTGCTATTAAGCAAAAAAAAAAAAAAAAAAAAAAAGCAGAAACTGCATCCTAGATGTCCAGGTGCAGACTGACTACATGATGCACATCACACTATAGTCAAGCAAATCTTGCTTTCCTGCTGACCTGAGATAAAAATCCATGAATTACCAGCGCATGTTTGACACATCATGCATTCATCTATCTTTTTCTTTATACACTACATAAACAGGCTTTAAGATGAAACTCTCCACCACCTATTTAAATAAGTTTAAGTTTTCTCCAAAATGAATCAAGGAAGCAAGTGTGGAAAGAGCAGTGTGGTAAATTTAGATATTATATTGAAGAAGAGGTGACTAATTGTCATTAATATTTCAACCTGATCATGTCTCTTACAAGTGATGATGGTAGAGTATAATTTGATGTCATGGACTCCTCTCTACATCTCTAGTTATGGTGTTCTTTACATATATTCTCCTCTTTACAACCAAAGTTGTAAAAAGAATTCTTAATACCCAACTCATATCTCCCTGCACCTCCCTCCCAATTCAATTATCTCTCCACTCTGATAGGGCTTTGTTTCCCTACCACCCCAATGAAGCAATTTTTGCCAAAGACAATGGTCATCTTTTTATAACATTTATAGATCAAGAATATTGAAATGCACATTCAAACAGAGAAAAATATTTCCCTCATTGAAAAATATTTTATTTACTTATGTATTGGAAAGGATTATACTGTAATGCTCTCATTATCTGAAAATTAAGAGTTGTAAAAAGGCTTCCACAGTGTTAAAGATTGATAACATGAAAGGTGATCTACAGACAATTTGCTTTCAAATGCAGCTTACATGTTCTCCTACATTACATACTTGGGCTTCGCTGAAAGAAACTTTTGCAAATAGGTTAACAGAATGGTAGCAATAATTTTTAAGGTCACTTTATTTTTTATTAGTTCATTTTTAGTTATATTTAATGTTAGAATTCATTTTGACATAATTATACAAGCATGGAATATAATTTGCTCTAATTCACTCCTCCTTACTTCCCCTTCCCCTCTCTCCCCACTCCCCTGTTCCCTGATTAAGAGTATCACTAAATTACTTAGGGCCTCACTAAGTTGGTAAGGCTGGCTTTGAACTCACAATCCTGCTGTAGCCTCCTCAGCTTCAAGGATTACAGGTGTGCATCAATGTGCCCATCTCAACCAATTGTTTTGAAAAGTGGAAATACTACAAAGAATTACACATTCATCTTTCACTCCCTGGTGTGTGCCATACCTAAGTGATTTCTAATAGCTGATGGAAGGCAAATCCTGTTATAGAAAGCATACAGCTAAGAAATGCAGAAGAAATTTTAGAATTAGAACATCAACATTTTTCAATCTTTAATGAAATGCAGATTTAGGGGAACAATCTTAAAATGCTGAGAAAAAAAAACTCAATGATTTTTTGTTGTTCTTTTTAGATATACATGACAGTAGAGCATATTTTGACATACAAATATGAAGTATAAATTATTCTAATTGGGATTGATATGGAAATTCATTGTGGTGTATTCATACATGTACCTAGGAAAGTTGTCTCAGATTCATTCCACTGTCTTTCCTATTATTATCCCTCCTCCATTCCCTTCATTCCCCTTTGTCTAATTCAATGAAGTTCTCTTCTTCCTCCCTCCTCCTTGTTGTGTGTTAGCATCCACACATCAGAGAGAACAATCAGCTTTTTGTTTTTGGGGATTGGCTTATGTTACTTAGCATGATACTCTCCAGCTCCATCCATTTTCTGGCAAATGCCATAATTTCATTTTTATTTATGGCTGAGAAATATTCCATTGTGTATATAAACCACATTTTCTTTATCCATTCATCTGTTGAAGGGCATCTAGGTTGGTTTCATAACAGCTATTGTGAATTGAGCTGCTACAAACATTGATGTCACAGCATCACTATAGTATGCTGATTTTAACTCCTATGGATGTATACCAATGTGTGGTATAACTGGGCCAAATGGTGGTTCCATTCCTAGGTTTTTTAGTGTCTTTTTTTTTTTTTTTTGAGGAATCTCCATACTGTCCATACTATTTTCCAGAATGGTTGCACCAATCTGCAGTCCCATCAGCAATATATGATTGCTCCCTTTCCACCACATCCTCACCAACATTTATAAAATCTTTTCCACATTTACCTCAGATAGAACAATGATCTCCAGGACATATAAAGAACTCAAAAATCTTAACACCAGTAAAATAAACAATCCAATCAATAAATGGGCAGAGAACTGAACAGGCACTTCACAGAAGAAATATGAATGGTCAACAAATATATGAAAAAATGTTCAACATCCTAGCATTTAGAGAAATTCATATTAAAACTACATTGAGATTTTATCTCACTCCAGTCAGAAAGGAAACAAAGACTCGAGGTTTAAACACATATGAGAGGCTGAGACAGGAGGGATAACAAGTTCAATGCCAGTCTCAGTAACACAGCAAGGCCTTAAGCAACTTAATAAGATGCTGTCTTTAAAAAAATATATTTATATATATACATATATATACATATGTGTGTGTGTATATATATATATATATGTGTGTGTGTGTGTATGTGTGTGTGTATATATATATATATATATATAATGAGGACATAGCTCAGTGGAAAAAGGCCCCTGGGTTAAATCTAGTACGTACGTACATATATACATCACATAGTATTTTAACAGCTGGATCAGATGCACAACAACTGAGCCCAGTGCTCAATCTTAATGTCATAGTAGGAGAGATGATCAGACAAGATGGGGGCTGGGTACAGTGGCACACACCTGTAATCTCAGCAGCTTGGAAGGCTGAGGCAGGAGAATCACAAGTTCAAAGCCAGCTTCAGCAATTTAGCAAGGCCCGTAAGCAACTCAGCAAGACCCTATCTCTAAAGAAAATATTAAAAATACCTAGGAATGTGGCTCAGTGGTTAAGTACCCTGGGTTCAATAGCCAGTAACCAAAAAAGAAAGAAAGAAAGAAAGAAGGCTCCTGATATGTTGCATGCCAAATGTTTGTGTCACCTCAGAATTGATATGTTGAAAGACTAATCCTCAATGTGATCAAGCTGTTAAGAATAAGGTTCAGTGGGTGGAGCTCTCATGATGAGAAGAGATATGAAAGAATTTGCTTCCTCTCTGTGTGCATATACACAGGAAAGGCCATGTCAGGATATAATCAGGAAGTAGACCCTCACCTAAATACCAACCATGCTGGCACGCTGGTTTCAGACTTCTAGCTTCTAGACCCATAAGAAATGTTTGTTGTTAACCCATAAACTCTTTGATAATTTGTTATAGTAGCCATAAGACATAATGTAAATCTACAAGAACTACAGAACACTACATTTTGAAGTACATTTGACAAAAAATCTGAACTAGATCAGAGGAACATAAAATACAACACAATAGCTGGGCACAGTGGCACAGGCCTGTAATCCCCGCAGTTCAGGAGGCTGAAATAGGAGTATCCCAAGTTCAAAGCTTGCCTCAGCAACAGCGAGGGGCTAAACAACTCAGTGAGACCCTGTCTCTAAATAAAATACAAAATAGGGCTGGGGATGTGGCTCAGTGGTCAAGTGCCCCTGAATTCAATCCCTGGAACCAAGAAAAAAGAACAATACAATAGGTATGCAATAAGCAAAATCAACAATGAAAATTCCAATACCTTAGGTAAATAAATTGAAAAGTTAAAAAAAAGGAGAGGAAGAAACTTGTTTAGATTGAAAGAGTCTTGGGGCTGGGGATGTGGCTCAAGCGGTAGCGCACTCGCCTGGCGTGCAGTACGGCCCGGGTTCGATCCTCAGCACCACATACCAACAAAGATGTTGTGTCCGCTGATAACTAAAAAATAAATATTGAAAAATTCTCTCTCTCTCTCTCTCTCTCCCTCCCCCCCCCCCCCCCCCCCCCCCCCCCCCCCCCCCCCCTTTTTTTTAAAAAAAAAAAAAAAAAAAAAAAAAAAAAAAAAGAAACACTCAATTACTCCTCAGGGGTGGGGGGAATCG